ATGCAACTGGCTGCTCCCAATTAAAGCCTAATGAGGAAGACCTGCAGAGAAGTTGCAAACTTCCAGTGAGGTGTGGCTGGTTTTATGCTAAACAAACATTATTTTTTTGTTTGTTTATTTGTATTACTTAGTCCTTTCAGTTAAAATGTGGAAAAAAATCAATTTTCTTTTCCTTAGGCTGTTGTAGCATGGGCAGGAAGAAGTTTATAAAACCACAACAAGAAATTACACTACAAAAAGTAGAAAAGGAGCAAGATGCAAAGAGGAGATGAGAGAAATATTAAGGAAGGAATCAAGAAAAAAAGAAAACTAAGCAATCGAGCAATTCAGTGCACAGTGGAGAAGTGGATTAGCTGAATATATGGAAAAAGAAAAATTAGATTTAGAAAGGATATATAAAGAAGATGTGGAATCACTAGAAATAAAATGGAGACCAGTAAAAAAAAGAGGAAAGAACTGAACAGTGAAGCAAAGATGACTATAAATAGGATGGGGTACCAAGGACAAGAGAAGAAAACAAGCAAAGCAATATTAAAACTTATGGGAAAGGGCATCTTAATGTGGTACCACCCAATTGTGCAATAAAAGTAGTGCAGCATTTGTCCGGAGTCCTAAGACAGAAGCAGTTGACACCTGCAAATTAAAGTGCGTGACACAGACTGCAATATATCAACCGGAAAGGGTTCTAGGGAATAAGACAGTGAATGAAAACCTGAGACCTGTATTAAATTACAAGTTTGGCCATTATCTTCCTATGAGATATGAAAAATGGGAATATAATACCTCCTACCTTGTTGTGAGGATAAAACTCATTAATTATCATGAAGTGCTCACACATTACAGTGCTGTGGGGGAAATAAGCAGGTAGAATCTAATTGCTGTTGTAGGATAAAGAGTACAGAAGGTATATTACTGATTGATGGACTAAGGGGTTACAAATTGATTGTTTTATCTGAGAGACTGAGAAATTCAAAGGCCAAAGAATGATTGGTCTTCTCATGTTGTTTTTTGGTTTTTCGTTGGGTTTTTTTTTTTTAAAGTCCAAGCAAACACAGTCATTAGATTCAAAAAGGCCCATTGGAACAGCAGATGAAAAATAAGAAAGAAGGGTTTTCTGAATGCGGTACATGAAGAGAAAGAAGGAAAGCAAACTAGTGTGCAGCATGCAGAAAAAATACACAGAATTTAAGTTAGAGTACTGTTCTTCTGCTAAAGCTATGATTTTAAAAGGATGGGTGGAGATAAATAAAGACTGGTAGGCAGGATGTGTGAGATTAATTTCTTCTAATTCTTCAACATCTAAAAGTTAAAATCTAAAAGTGTCCATTATAGGAAGCTCATCAACAGAGAGAAACACACAGCCAGAAGTGATTCAGCTGACCTTAGACACTTATCTCAGAATAAACTGAGCAGCTCTCCAGAGGTATCCACTGTGACTGGCTTAGATATCTAATTTTAATAAATAAATTTCAGCTACTAATTATTCCTACAGATACTGAAAGAGAACTATATCATATCATATCCTGTGATAAAATGAAAGCTCACAGCATGGAAGAGAAAAAAAAAATGAACTTGTTAGACACAGCAAAGAATGGATGGCAAAAGCACTTTCACTAGCCAGTGCTTTAGAGATGTTTCTATTAAAATCTCTCTCTGAAAAAAAAAAAAAAATGTCACTTAAGTGACAGTTATTTTCACACTCAAGGTGTTTTATCAAAAATTATTTAACTGATTCTTATCACCTTAATGAGATAGAAATCATAAGTAAGAATACCTACAACTTTCTGTTCTCAACAAAGTGCTACAATTAGAATACAAATTTTTCTTGGATCCCTAATCTGCATTTATCTAATCAGCCTCAATTTTACTGAAAAAGGAAAAGAATTCCTAAATTTTAGGCTTTTTTTTAAGAAATGTTTGCATTAAAATTTTAACAGTGAAAAACTCAGGACACACGGAAGAGACATTTTTTAGGAGGTACATGCTACTCGTTCCTGAAATACTGGCCTTTTAAAGGGATCCAAATCTGCTTGTATAAATTAGATTTTTAAAATAAATATTATTTTTCTATAATATAAATTTGATTTATTTTGTTTATTAAGAATTATTATTGTTATTGTAGCTGAAGAAGGATAATTTTATCATCATTATGAAATATTCACCTTTTCTAAATAGCAGCAATCATAGATCCATAGAATCATTTAGGTTGGAAAAGACCTTTAAGATCAAGTCCAACCATTAACAGAGCAGTGCCAAGTCCACCACTAAACCATGTCCCCAAGGACCACGTCTACCCGTCTTTCAGGGTATGGTCTCAGGGATGGTGACTCAACCACTTCTCTGAGCAGCCTATTCCAATGTTCAACAAACCATTTGGTAAATAATTTTTTCCTAATATCCAATCTAAACCTCCCCTGGCACAACTTGAGGCCATTTCCTCTTGTCCTATCACTTGTTACTTGGGAGAAGAGACTGACCCCCACCTCACTACAACCTCCTTTCAGGTAGCTGTAGAGAGTCATAAGGTCTCCTCTCAGCATCCTTCTCTCCAGGATAAACAACCCCAGTTCCCTCAGCCGCTCCTCATAAGACTTGTGGTCCAGACACCTCAGAAGCTTTGTTGCCTTTCTTTGGATGTGAAGAAACAGAATTTGAGTATGTTTCTCCAGGATGAAGAAACCCAGCCCTTAGCAGATATGCTGAACCAACAAGGTAACAGTGGCTGAGATACCTAAGATTGCCACTCTTCGTGGTGTAGTTAGACCTCATGGGGAACTTTTTAATGGTACCTCCTTAAGTCAAAACATTTGTTCTGATCACCTGGCCAAAAAGCTTAAATGACTGACAGAAAGCACATGCTTTCAAACAACAAGAGCTTGTAAATACTTTACTTTCTTAGTATCTTTCCCCTTCAAGTTTTCTAAACTTAGAATTAAAAGCAAAACAAAACAAAATAAAAAAAGGTTTTTTTTTTTCCTTCTCCCTCTTTAACCCTCCTTAACTCCCTCTTTGGGGACTGTTATGAAGGAATGAAAAATAACTATCTCAACACATAGAGCCCTGTAAACATGCTGGCAACTCAAACTGAACCACAGTCTTAATGCTATGTTTTTGTATTTTATGAAGTCCATATAATACATATGTCCAAAACATTTTACCTCACTAGGCAAAAACACCCATGCAAAAGTTATAGTGATGTTCAGTTTAAATTCTGCTCCTTTTGTTCATACATACCAGACTTTGGTAACTGCTATTTAGCTGCGCAACCTGCCTGATTTTTTTCTCAACAGAAAAAGTGAGGAATTCTGCCAATCAGGTTTGGAGGGACAATAATTAAAAGTAAACAGGCTGAAACAACACTAGCTTGTGTGCTAAAAAAAAAAATAAAAAAAATCATTTGGTGCGATAAAAGACAGAAAAGGTGGGGAAGTCTCCAGTCCTAGAAATTAAAACTTTTCAGTGTGATTCAAATAATTTCAAAGTAATAACTTATGCTGGTGTTGAGTTTTGGTATTGTACTCTGTGCTGCTGATTCCACCTTACAGCATTACTTGTTTCTTGACAGACAGGCCCTGACTCACAAGAACTATTCTTAACTCAATAGTAAAGGCTATTATAAACTTCATTCCAAGAGTTTAAAAAGGCAGAAATAAAACTGTCACAGAAATAAATAAATTTGAAAAGACATCTAGTGCAAAAAACCCTCTTTTTTTCCAAGGAAAAAAATCCTGAGGAAAGTCAAAGAAAATGAGAGTAAACTCTGGAACAGTATTTCCTTTGGTGCCTTACCTGCCCAGTCTGGATTCATGTTGTAGTAGTCACCTCAAGACACTTCCCAATACTATTTAATCATAACAGATAAGGCAGGCTCTTTTACTTCACACCGTAACCTACCATCACTGCATGGTACATTCAGCTTCAGAATCCAATGTTTAAGTTTTGTAGTCCTGTTTGAAGTGACTATCACCTGCAGTTCCGGTGACTTTAATCGGAACAGACCAATATCTTTCAAATTTAGGTTAGTTGTAATGAATTTTACTTAAAGCATGCAAATTTTAAAACTCAGGACAGTAGACTTGTTTGCTGTATCTGAATTCCACTACTCGTGACTCTACATAAGCATATCAAATAGTTCTGCTTGACATGATCTATGTACCTTCCTTAATTGCCTTACAGCAGAAGCATCAATTACAATAGTGATGCCATCAATCTCTAAAGAATACTTGATTAAAAAGTGCAAATGAAGCATGCTGGCAATTCTGATTAATACATTTACAACATTTTTTCTATGGTTTTATAAATTAAATCTATAATGAAGACAAGCAGTTGCATCATCTTAAGTGAAGGTGAGGATAACTTGTCTTCTCCCCAGAAGACAGTAAGATTTTTAATAGTTAAAGGCCAATAGAAAATTTCAAACCACTTAAAGTAAGAGTTTTAGTAGAACCAGGAATTGAAACACCATACATTTTCTCTAAAACATGGGACTGGATTTTCAATTTCCCCAAAGCTTATTATAGTCATATGAGTGATCACAAAGTGCATGAAAGTAGTTATGCAGTAACATTTTACATCTGCTTTCCCCTTGTGAAAAATTTCCTATGAAGAATACAGAATAGTATGAGCTTGGAAAAGAGGGCCAGAAAATGCTTCCTTCAGAGTAAAGTAAATTATTTACATTTATCATTTTGATTCTCCAGTCCTATAATTATGATTTTATTACATTTCAAAAAGTGAATGATACTGCTATCAGGATCTTTTTCTCCCAGCACGTTCCCTGCCTGACCAATAACTCAGACTGTATGAGGCAAGACGGACTTTGAGAGTTAGAACATAAAATATGATCTAACTCTTGAGGAAACTTTTGAATATTTCTGAGTTTCTTGGTTTCTTGCTTCTGCAAAATATTTAAATGCTAGTCTTACAGTTTCATTATTGTTTGCCATCCTTTTATTTTCTGAGATTATAGTCAATGAATCAAAAAGAACCATTTTACTTACATCGTTCTGATCATCTTTTGCATTGTAATAGATTATATCATTATTCTGTAAGAGAAAAAAAAGTAATTTTGTTAGTTTAAAAGTAGAGCATAAAGTTTACAAGCAATAATTTGCACTAAAATGTGTTTTAAAATAAACCTGCATTTCTTTATGTATTCTCTTTGAAATATGACAGAATCAGACCTTTGCTTGCTCTCTGTTCATGTATTTTTTCCCATGCTCCTGTTTAACTCCATTCATTTAATGCTTCTTCCCTGGTAAGCTACATAAGTCACTCAAAAAGCCAGCTAGAAAAGTACAGACAACGTTGGGCAAAATCCAGAGTTGATAAAAGACTTCTGTAAGCCGTTTCTTTTACAGACATGCACTGATTACACTATGCAATTAAGTGATTTATGCACCATGACTTCTAACAGGCAATAGATACGACAACGCAGGGGCATTGCTGAGTGGGTTAAGTACTCGTTGCACACACATTTATTGTTTTATTCAACTCCCACTGTGAAAATAAAATGTGGGAAAGTACATCACAGGAGATTCTGGCTGTTGTGGCATAGCGTGGATCCTGGCAACTCTGTGGAAATACTGTACCGTGTAATTCAAGCAAAACAATGAAGGAGAAGATTACTGGTTTCCATTGCAAAATCAGTCAGAAACTGCGTTCAGTGTAATGACTACAGCAGCTTGAAAATTGCGGTATTTCCCATGGAATATGTTTTTGTTTTCTCTTGAAATATTTCTGACCCATTTAAAAGCCTTAAAGATTTAGGCTCACTGTAATAACTTTCCACTAAATATAAATAATATACAGCAATATAATTGCTGTAATGTGCCCTATATTTGCCTTTATACCTTTTTGAATGAAAGTAATTACACGCATTTCTGTATGAAACACATATAAATGTATATAGCATTTTTTAGAATTCCCATTATAGATTGCGAATAAATAATGAAACGGAGAAGTTACTATTCCTCATGTCCAGCATTTTATGTAAAATAAGCAATTGCTGCTAACCTCTAAAATTAATCTTAATTTATATTTTCAGTTCTATTTATGGTAATCCCTTTGGATTTATGTATTAAAAAGTTCACCACAAAAATATTTTTTCTTTTATAAATACCAACAGGAAAGAATGATTTCAGTAATCACTTTTCAAGTAGGTAAACCAATGACAATTATTACCTGCACTAAAAAAATACCATGACATGCGTTACAAGGTAACGCAGTTCACTTTTACAAACCATCGTTTTCCTCACTTCATAAATAATGACATTGTTCATTCTCCTTTATGCTCTTTTTGAGATCCAAACATGAAATATATTATAGATGAGCTAAATGCCATTCTGAGGTAAATGTTATTAACGCTAACTCATTTTCTTTGCTTTTACCTTAAAAGGCAGTTTTCCACTTTTCCATCAAGAAACTCTTCTACCACAGTTTGGTCAGTTTTGTATCAATATCTGGGTAGCTAAGCCAGACCACAGTACGTTACAGATATAAAAGGATATTCCTTTCATCATTAAAGACCAAAGCTAATTGCTTATTCACTTGACTGTTGTAAAGAAAGGATCATGTAATGCTTGTGGAAGCCTTCAAGAAAGTTGGAAGAGGCAAAAGATTCAATTTTCTTTGGAACCTCTTTACTTTGTACATGGTAGTGTACAAAATAACTGTTCTGTAAACAATTTGATCTGTTCAAAAAGCCAAGTAATTCTTTAGCAGGCAACATTTAAAACTGCAAAGGGTCCAACTCTGAGTGGTACTAGCTGGAAATGTTAGCACAAGTGTTTTCACCACAAGAGGATCTGTTTAATTTAAAAAAAAATAAAAAATGTTTCACTTCAGAAGATAGGGACGAGAATAGTCCTCTCACTACACCTCCTTGTGTTGTGTTGTGTTGTGTTATGTTATAGAAGTTCCCCTGCAATCTCTTCCCGGAAGCTTTTGTTCAGGAAAAATGAGACCAGGAGAAGTAATACAGACATCCTTATGTGCGTATAATATATATATTATTTTTGTTTAGTGGTTTCATTTTAAAAAGGTACATTTTCACAAAAGCGCAATTCTTTTAGGTCTTCTCTTGTATTGTCTCTCATCAAGCTACCAGTTTATTTCGCCACCCCATTCCCATTGCTTAAGTTCACCATAAAAGTATAACTTCTCACAGTCTGATGTAATGAGTAGGGGGTTGTTAACTTTAATTAACAAGTTTTAACATTGTACTCTGCACATACAATTCCATTTATCTACTCAAGCAAAACAATTATTTATTGTCACAATTGTATTTTTCCCTTTCTTTTATATTTTTGTTTATTTGTTTAAACTGATCAAAGCCCGCATACCTATCTACTTCTGCTGGACTAAACAGTGTTTCTTAAATCACCTATTAAAGAATCATGTTTCAGAAACATGATACTTTTACAAGTTAATTAAAATAACACCCCCAGAACAAATTAGATTTTTTTTTTTTTTAATGCTATACATATCTTGTAGTTCATTACCCTGCCTGGAGATATTACCTATATAATGCATAAATTAACACTGACATTGGTCATATCTCACTAGTCTTAATATAGAAAATATGAGATACTCAGTTCTACAACATGCTGAATGCTGTGCAGTTCGCAAATTAGATTCATGGATCAGTTATATCTTTAGAGGACAATTTTTCATAATTTAACCACTTCTAGCTGACAAGAACAAATTGTTTTGTTGCTGGTTCAAAAGCAAGTAGTTCAGTTATTTATTAACTTCTTGACACAAAGAATTTGAATCTTCTCACTGTTATACACTTCTGCCACCAAGTAATACTGCACACTTAGTCAACAGGCCTAAAATACAACTTAAATATCCTACATTTATTTTTTTTCTTTATCCAGTAATGTTATGACAGAGAGAGGTGCATACTCGCTGTTACTTCTGTTCATGAATGAAAGGATTTATTAAGACAGTCCTGAACCTAAATTCATGGAAGAATTACTTTAGGAGACCATATGCATAAATTAGAAACTTTAGTATAGTATAGTGATCATACCAGTTTACAAAATTCATACAGTTGGAAAACTGAAGGGTAGTTTTAACCATAATTAATTCCCCTTACAGAGCAAACAGTTTCAGTATCTGACAAGGATATGCAAAGCATACAAAAATTACATTAAGGAACAGTCCATGAATGTCTTATTTGTGACTCTCACTATTTTCTTCTATTCTATCCTAATAATCTTTTTTCTTCCCCACTTCCATTGATATTATTATCTGCTGAAGTTAGATTGTTCCATTGTCTTTATATTGCTTTTCATTTCAACAGTACTTTGTTTCCTAGCTTTGGGCATAAAATAATTCCAGTGGGAAACACTACGTATTGGTTAGTATTAATGAATTCCTAAGTTTCATCACACAGAATTCAAAGTTTCTGGTCTCTACAGTCTCTATGCCTAGAGATTTGAAGAAACACACAGATTCATCAAATAGAAGAAAAGCATGGGAAAATACAATCCTTCAGAACATCTGCAGATGACATTTGAATTCGCACCAACACTAACTCACACTCAGTTTGATTCTCCACGTAGCAAGTTTACAGACACAGTCTATTGATTCGACCCGTCAAATGGTTAATCTCAACTCAGGATTACGTGAATGGAGCTGAAGTTTGCTTCTTATTACAGGAAATATTATTTTCTTTCAATCAAATTCTTTCAAGAACAACACAAAGGGATCACATTGGAACAAGGCATATCCGACACTACAGATAGATTACAATTTACTATACGTTATTATCTATGTTATTTTGTTGGTAAAAGCTATACATCCACCTTTACCAAGTGCCAAATATGAAAGCTCCTTGTCTTCACTGCCACATAATGGCTTCTGTAGGAAAACCTGCTCTGTAAATCCTGTGCTAGAATTCCAAGAACCGCCCATTAAATATGGACCCCATCAACTGGTCAAACCTCTTTTTCAGTGGAAACATTGTACATGTGATTTTTGAAGTATCTGCCTTTCCAAAAGAGATGTTTGCATTTCATTCATGAAAGAAAACAAACAAACAAACAAAACCCCTGGAAATCTGAAGATTTTCAACAAAGATCTAATATTATCTATTCAGAAACGTTGCTTCCATGGAAGCCGTGATTAAGAGTCCTGAAGCCCTCAGGTCTGTATGTGAGGCTTCCTAGAGGATCTGCCAAACTTAGATCCTGTGATGTAGCCCAAAATGGGGTTAGGGAAGCAGGGGAGATTGAAGTCTTAAAATCAATTCTAGAACTTTGTGAGACACTATAATGGACTACCTGAAAATAAATAATTGTTAAAAAAAAAAAAAAAAAAAAAAAAGGAGGAGGGGGAGAAACCAGTTTTAAAGGGCTTTTCATGTAGTAAAAAATTAATGCAATGTGTCAATTTAGACAGGCATCACAATTACCCTTTTTTCCTAAAAGCAGCAGTTCTGAAACAATTGTAGGTAAAATGTAGAACCAAAAAAAAACCCAGTTTCTGTGACTTTATTTGCTGCAGAGATGCTAGAAGGTCATGAACTCCCTCAGAAAAGAAAACAGAAGAGTTCTTGTTAAATGTCTCTGGACTTCAAATATTTTCTTCAATGAACCACTGGAGGCAAACCTAAAATTACTCTTATATTATATTGGAAATATATATTACTGCATAATTATTAGTCCATGTTTTATAATCTAAAATTAAGGTCAAATATAATTATTTGAAATTTGTTTTAAAACAGCATACTTCCTGTATCTTTTATACAAAATTTGCTAAAACAACCAAAAAGAGGCAACGTATAAAAAGCTCCTTTATATTGCAGTTCAGCTGATAGTAGTCATATCTATGAGGATTCTTTTGTTATGCTAGTAATGAGGTAGAATAAGAAATGAAAAAAACAATAAAACACCCCCAAAATATTACAAATATGTGTCTGATTTTGACTGTTCAGTTTAAAAATAAGTTCTTAGAATTACAGATACAAATTTGGAGAACGTTTCTAAAATCATATTAGTCCCTCACGCTTTAAAAAGACAGAGAACACTAGTGAAAG